GAGGACTTGAGGGGTCTGTTTGTCCCCAGCTAGTAGACCCAGGAGAGGCTTATGATCCGTGACCAGCTCAAAAAAGTGGCCAAAGAGAAATTCGTGAAATTTCTTCACTGCTGCAACAGCTGCTAGAGCTTCCTTATCAATCTGGCTATAATTGCGCTCTGTTGCAGAGAGCGTCCTGGAGAAAAAAGCGATGGGGGCCTTGGAGCCATTGGGAAGCCTGTGGCTTAATACTGCCCCAATTCCAAAAGGGGATGCGTCTGCTGCTAGCACTAATGGAAGGTTGGGGTCGAACTGAATAAGGACCGCCTCTGACGTGAGTAGTGATTTGACGGCGCGAAAAGCGGAGTCTTCTTTGTGACCCCAGTGCCAAGGCGATTTTTTATCCAACAGTCTGTGCAGGGGTTCTGCCACTGATGCTTTATGGGGCAGGAAGGACGCGTAAAAGTTCAATAGCCCCAAGAAGGCCTGCAGTTCAGTTTTGGAGGTTGGAGTGGGTGCCTCGTGAATTGCCTTAACCTTGGACTCCAGGGGGTGAATGCCTGAGGCGTCAATTTTATAACCCAGAAAGTCCACCTGTCTAGTGGCAATGGCACATTTTTCTTTTTTTAATTTGAGGCCATGCTGTCTGAACCTCTCTAATACTGCTCGAACTCTCTGGAAGAGTTGGGGTCTGTCCCTGGCCGAGACTAAGATGTCGTCGAAGTAGGGTACTACACCAGGGAGGCCCTGCAAAATCCGCTCCATGAGGGATTGAAAAATGCCTGGGGCAACACTTACGCCAAATTGGAGACGCTTGCACCAGAAAGCACCCCTGTGGGTGACAATGGTCTGGAGTTCCGCTGTTTGGCTGTCAACAGGGAACTGTTGATACGCTTGAGACATGTCCAATTTGGCAAAAATGCTGCCAGGTTCAAAAGTGTGTAATAAATGCTGAATGACGGGCACTGGGTAAGCGCTAACTTGTAAAAACTTATTAATTGTGGTCTTGTAGTCCGAGCAAATTCTCAGGCTACCGTCTTTTTTGAGGGGTGTGACAATGGGCGTCTCCCATTTGGCGAAATCTGTTGGCTCAATGACCCCTTGTTTTAATAGTTTATCCAATTCTGCATCTAGTTTTGGCCGAATAGCGAATGGGACTCTACGCGGTTTTAGCCTGATTGGGACTGCCTGGGGGTCGACTGAGAATGAGATAGGGGTACCGTTATAACACCCCAGCTCATCGCTGAATACATCTGAGTAATCAGCGAATAAGGAGTCAGTGTCAGAGGTTGAGACAGCATGGACTCCTGTTAGCCCTAGGCCGAGATGGGGAAACCAATCGAGCCCCAAGAGTGTGGGGAGATTGCCGTTAACTACCACTAGAGGTAGGTGACCTTTGAAAGCTTTAAAATTGACAAGGAACTTGCCTCTGCCGATTACAGGAATGACCTTCCCCTGGTAGTCCTTCAGGCTAAACTGGCACTTCTGGAGCCGGCTTGTTGATAGACTGGGCTGTAGCCTCTTGAGGGTGCTCCATGAGATAATTGAGAGCGCTGACCCTGTGTCAACCTCCATGCGACACGGTTTACCTTCTAACAAAACGGAGAGAGAGATTTTACTAATGGTATGGCAAGTGTGCTTGGCATGGTGGTGAGTGCGACAGTTCAATACTTGCCTCTGAGGTCCAGAATGTGAGAAGGGAGGGTGCCTTTGTGCCGAGTTTTGAGAGGCTTGACAGACTCTCGCGATGTGCCCCCTTTTGTGGCAGATGTTGCAGGTGGCTCCTTTGAATTTGCAGGCGGCCCTCGGATGGGATCCACCACAGGATAGGCACAGGGTGATGTGCTTGGGTGGACTGATGTTTTCTTGCTTGGCTCCTACCTGCGGATGCCTGGCGTTGGTGAGGCGGTGGATGTCAGTTTCATCACTAGGGGCTTCCTCTACTACCACCTCCTCGGAGTGGACTGGAACTGTCGTTAGCTTGGAAGTTGGACCATGGATTTCGGTGGCTGAGTGTGCTGCCAGTTCTGCTGCCAGGGCCTCCTCGACGGCTTGTGCGAGGTTGAGGTCCTTCTTAGCGAGTAGGCGCCTTTGGAGGTGGAGATCCTTGACCCCACAGACTAGTTGATCGAGGAGCATGTCCTCCAGGTAGGTTCCAAATCCACAATGGAGTGCTGCGGTCCTGAGGGCGGCCATGTACTGGTTGATGGTCTCTGTCTGATTGCTTCCTCATACAGAAGGTGAATCGCCTGGCAATCTGTGAAGGTCTGGGAGAATAGTGGTTAGTAAGGATTTCTAACAGTTCAGACCATGGAACGTTTTTTAACTCACGTGGAGCCACGAGTGCTGTGGCAGTGTCAAAGACGATGGCTCCACAGTAGATCAGGAAATATGATTTTTTCCGGTGCTCCCCTGCATCAGCCAGCCCAATTGCGTCGATGTAATGGTTAAAGTGGTTCTTGTATGATTCCCACTTCTCCTCATCTGGTTTGAACGCTGGGAAGACTGGATTGGAATTCATAGTGAGGAAATCGGTTGTACAATCTGTGGACAAAATCTCTCTGGGGCAGCAGCAAAAGGTTTCTAGTGCCTGTGGCAGGCAAGTGATTTCAGCTCTGGAGAGGCTTTTTCACAATCCTCTCTCTCTCTCTGGGCTAAACACGAGGTTAGGCTGCCAGCCGTTGGCAGCGTTTTGAAATTCGCGCCTGTGTGGGCGTCAGTGACTTGACTTACAGCACCGCGCTGTACTTTTTAGGTTTGAAATTCAAATGACAGCCGTTTGAATTTCGCGCCTAAAGAAACGAGCGGCTGCGGCTCGCAGCGCTTCACTTTTCCTGTAGCTGGGCTAACAAGCGGCTACAGACGCTTCTCACTTTCGTTGCTGGCTGACCGCTTTCTCTGGCTGCGGATCAGCGTTCGCTTCTCGTTGCTTACTGACCGCTTTCTCTGGCGGCGGATCAGCGTTCGCTCTCGTTGCTTGCTGACCGCTCTCTCTGGCTGCGGATCAGCGTTGCTCTTATCGCCGGCCGATGGTTCTCTCTGGCTGCGGATCGGCGGCTAGTGACTCAGCGGTTGCAATGTGCTTCTGGTAGCCATCCCATCCTCGTCGCCAGTGTTAAGTTTGGGTAATGAGAGGCTGGACCAGAGCATTAGTGCAACAATACTTTATTATAACAATAAAGGACTGACCGTGCTTGCCAAGCCTGGAACTGGCTCGCAGCGATCAGCAACTGGTTGGACCCCGCAGCCTGCTTTTATAGCTGGCTGCTGGGGAGAACCAACCAATGAGCGAGGGGGAAAACCGCCCCCGCAATGTGAACGGACCTGAGTGGGAACTCCTAGAGTTCCAGGGACATAACAGTTACAGTCCTAAAACAAGCAAAATGTAGTTACCGAACCAGTAGTAACACTGGTTGAATCCACCCCTGGACAGAGGCATATATTATCCTTATACCAAAAGAAGATTCAGATTTACAACAGATAAAAAAATTATAGACCAATATTCCTGTTGAATGCAGATTACAAAATATTTGCTTCAATAATGGCAGAAAGACTTAAAAGATATTTGAATCATTTTATACATACAGATCAAAATGGCTTTTTACCTAAGAGGCAAATAAAAGATAATATGAGGTCAATACTGAATACATTGGAGTATTATGAAGCACACTCAGAGAAGCAAATGGCATTAATATTCTTGGATGCACAGGAAGTATTTGATAATGTTAATTGGCAATTCAAGTTGGTGCAAATGAAACAAATGGGTTTTGGGGAGAAATTTATTAAAATGATAGAGGCTCTATACTATAAACAATCAGCAAAGGTAATGATAAATGAAGATTTGACTAGGAGTATTAATATCAAAAAAGGAACAAGACAAGGATGTCCTCTGTTGCCATTACTGTTTGTATTGATCCTGGAAGTGTTGAACAGAAATATTAGGGGAAAAAAGGAAATGAAGGGAATGAAGATAAGGACTGAGGAATACAAGCTACAAGCATTTGCAGATGACATGGTTTTTATATTAGAACCATTAGTAACAGGCCAGAAGTTGATAGAAAAAAATAGAAAAACAAAGTTAAATATCTGGGGATACAATTGACAGTGAGATGTGAAACACTGAAGGCAGACAATTATTATAGACTTAAACAACAAATTGTGACAGACTTAGAAAAATTGAAAAATTTACAATTATCCTTAATAGGGAGAATATCTACAATTAAAATGAACATATTGCCAAGAATATTATATCTATTTCAGACAATCCCAATAAGGTTAGGGAAATAATACTTTGAGGATTTGAATAAGATGGTATTGAAATTAATATGGCAGGATTAAACTAAAATTGCTACAAGATACCAGAATGAGAGGGGTTTTTTGATTACCCAACTAGGAATTATATTACCAGGCCACTGTATTGATGTGGATGAAAGAATGGATTATTCTAAGAAATACTAGGCTGTTGACATTGGAAGGACATGATTTACAATTGGGGAAGCATGCCTTACGGTACAAGGAGAGCAAGGCACATGGTTACTTTCAACGACATTATGTAAGAGATGCTTTTACTGTTAATATGGAAGAAAATAAGGGAAAAACTTTATTTGAAAATACCGGTTTGGTTGTCAACAATGGAGGCATTTGTATAGCCAAATGTTTTTAGAATAGAACATATTGTTAGATATAAGGATGTCTTAAATGAAAAGGGTGAACTCAAAACAAAACATGAATTAGATGAACAAGGGATGGGTATGAATTGGTATATATGTATGCAAATACACTCTAGATATGAGAAAGATGTTACGACAGATGGTTTTTATGAAGAATTGACAGAACTAGATAAAATCTTAATAGGCCCTGAAGAGAAGATGATAAGAAAATTGTATAGTTACAGTATTTACTTGAAGTAAAGTTAGAGGAAGAATAAGTCAAAGTAACAATGATTGCATTGGGAGGAAATTTTGGATATGGGATAGATTTGAAGAAATGGCAAAAACTATGGGGTAGAAATTATAAACTAACAATGTCAACAGCCTACAAAGAAAATCTGTATAAGATGTTTTACAGGTGGCACCTTCCCCCAGCAAGATTGGTGAAGATGTTTAAAGATAAATCAGCAAAATGTTGGAAGTGTCATCAGATCCTGGGATCATATTACCATATGTGGTGGACATGTACAGAAGCTAAAAGATATTGGACTAAAATCAACACATGATTGGAAAAAATGATGAAACAACACATAGACGTAAAGCCTGAAATATTTTTATCAGGGATACTACCTGAAAAATACAGTAGAGAAATAACATATCTGATTATCCAAGTATTAACAGCAGCTAGAATTGTATTTGCACAGAATTGGAAAAATGAGAAAATTCCGTTAGAGGAGGAAGTGATTAAGAAAATAATGGAGTGTGCATAAATGAGTAGGTTAACAATGGCAATTAGAGAGCAAGAAGAAAGGGACTATTATAGGATATGGGATTTATCCTATGGATAGTTAGAAAGTAGAGCAAGACATTAAAGGATATTATATAAATGATGTATTGAAACATTACTTTAAATAAGTTATAATATGAATATATTTAGTATGCTCTCAAAGATAGATATTAAAAACCTAATGATATCGTAACAATGATATATTTTGATGTTACACAATGTTGATTAACATGAATGTAAAATTAATCAGAAATGTATATATATATAATGTGCACAAAAAAGATGTACCCAGACAACACACGGTATAATTGAAAGATGATTTTTATTTGTTGTATTTGGTTGTAAAAATATTTTTAGGCCAACATTGATGTTTTCCAGTGCTTCGTTGAAAATTGACTCAGAGTATATATTAAACAGCAGCGGAGACAGGATACAGATCTGTCTGACCCCTCTTCATATTTCTGCATCATCTGAGTATTTTCGGCCCATTTGCTACCTGATGCCAGTATAGATTCTTTATTATTTTGATGTCTTCGTTATCTAGTCCCACTTGTTTCAGGATGTTTAATAGTCTGCTGTGTCTTCTTTTATCAAATGCTTTTTCAAAATCAATTAGGCACATATAAACACTGTGATTGACATATCTACAATGCTGTACAAGAATGTGAATGCTGAATAGGGCATCTCATGTACCAAGATTGTTTCTGAAATCAAATTGTGTGTTACTTAGACACTCCTAAATTTTGTTGTATATTCTTGTTGAATTATTCTCAGGAATATTTTCAGGGCATGACTCATTAAGTTTATTGTTCTGTATTTGGTACACTTCTTTGCATTTATTTTTGGGAGGATTGTCACAAAGGTTGACTTTAACCAATCATTTGTTATCTTTCCTGTTTCATATATTGAATTGAAAGGCAGCAGTAAAAATTTCCTCCCGTTGTCTTCCAGCAATTTTAAAATTTCTACTGGGATATCATCAGGTCCTGTAGCTTTTCTTGTTTTTTCTATTTCTATTGCATGTTCATCCTCCTCCATAGTCATGTTTGATCCAGTTGTTATTCTTCCCATATCAATATCATCCCTAGTGTCCTGAAAAAGTTCTTCTATATATTTTTTCCATCTTTTAAACTTTTCATCCTCATCCAAGATAATTTCCCCCTCTTTGTCAACTAAGTTGTTGGTTTTCTTTTTGTAGAGGCCTGCTGTTTCTTTCACTTTTTATGTAAGTTGAAATTATCATTCTTACATTCTCTCCTATTTCTTTGCATCTCTTTGCAAAACACTTTTCTTTTGCAGTCAAATTTTTCTTCTAATTGTTTTCTGCAACTCATTGTATTTTTCTTTGTTTTTATAAGAGCTTCTTTTATCCATGAGATGAAGGATTTCATCCATCATCCACTGTTGTTTATTGTGGTACCCCTCTCTCTGTTTTGAGTTTGCACTTCTACATTTTCATTAAATAGAATAGAATAGAATAGAATAGAATAGAATAGAATAGAATAGAATAGAATAGAATAGAATAGAATAGAACAGAATACTTTATTGGCCAAGTATGATGGGACACACAGGGAATTTGTCTTGGTGCATATGCTCTCAGTGTACATAAAAGAAAGATGCATTCATCAAGAGTCAAGAATCATAAGATAGAACACTTAATAATAATCATATAAGCAATCAAATAGTCAATAAGCAATCAAATCATACTAGGAAACAGTCAATAAAAATCATTAGGATACAAGCGTCAAGGTTGCAGTCATACAGTCATGTGGGAGAAGAGGGTGAAAGGAAGGATGGAAGGATTAATATTAATAGTAATAATAATGCAGACCTAGTAAATAGTTTGACAGTGTCGAGGGAATTTGTTTAGCAGAATGATGGCACTTAGGGAAAAAATAGGTTGTTGGTTTCTCTTAAATGAATTTCTAGTTCTTCTTTTATCTTATCTCCATGTTTAATGATGAAGTCATTGTCAATTCTTGGTTTAGGAGGATTTGGGTTTTTCATCCTTTTTAATTTCAGTTGGACTTCAACAAGTAGTAAATTATGATCGGATGGTACATCTGCATCTGGGTATGCCTTTACTGATTTTACTGAGTTTCTAAATCTTTTGTTTATTGTAAAATAGTCAATCTGGTTCCTTGGTATATTATTTCTTCTTTTCTCCCTTCCATATTACTTTAATCGGATTGTGATCTGCCCATTTATTTGTTTCAATTCTTATATCTTGTATATTAATAATTATCTCTGTTGTTGCCCACATCATATGGACCAAGATAAATGTCTATTTAAATAAAATGTATGTTGTTTCTTTTCTGGGTAACTTTCTCTCCATGCATCTTGAATTGCTGGTTCTTCTGCCATTTTAAAAAAGGGTTTTGGTAATATTTCTCTGTTCTTTTGTCTTTTGTGTTTTATAGTCCATTTCAACATCCACAATTGCACTGTAATCTCCAATAATATGAATATTTTCATATTCCATTTCTAGAATTTGTCATAAAATTATTCTTGACTTTCATTTGGGGCATAAATTATCAGTAATAATGTTCGCTTATGATTCATCAATATTTCCACTATTAATACTCTCCCCTCATTGTCTTGATAAATTTATTTTGTTTATAGTGTCCTTTATATACAATGCTATTCCTCTTTTACTTTGTTGTGCAAATGTAGTACATAATCTCCCAATCTTAGGATAGTCCAATGTTTTCTCATATTGTTTTTTAATATGTACTTCTTGCAAGCATATCATATCCAATTTTAATTTCTCTAATTTGTTAAATTTTCTTTTCCTTTTAATTGCTGATTTTAATCCATTTATGTTAATTGTCATTAATTTAATTTCTTCTTCTATGTCTTTATTTATTATGTGCTATTGTTGCTCTAGTCATTCTCATCTCCCTTGGTTCCTTAAATCTCTCTTCTCTAGTTGCTCTCTCTTGTCATTCTTTTTCCTCTTCTTGTTGTCATCTTTCATCCCTTTGTGCTGCTTCTTCTCTCAGTTTTATTTCTTCCATCTCTCTTCTTTTTTTACCTTCATATTCTCTAAAATGTTGATCATAAAATACTTCTGCTTTTTCAATTGTATCTAATCTGTATTTTTGCTCGTGCCATGTCTCCATTATTCCCTCTGGTATCAGCCATCTAAAATTAATTTCCCTTTTAATTAAACACTTTCTCAGGGACTTATATTCTCTTCTCATATCTCTGACCCATCTTGGTATTTGTTTCAACTCTGTTTTCTCTTTTCTTTTATATTTTAATGCATCATCTCTCACAGCTTTTAATATTTCTGTTCTTACAGCTTTCTTTGTGAATCTGATATGTACTTCTCTTGGTAGTTTATGTCTCAATCCATTTCTGGTCTGAACTTTGAAGATTTCATCCATATTAGATATCATTTTCTCTTTTGTCCAGAACTACTGCCAGAAGGTCTGCCATTATATCTGCTAGATTCTCATATTGTTCTTCTACAACATTTTGAAATCTTAAATAATTATCAGCCTTGTCCATCTCCAGCATGATAATTTTCTTTTCCTTGCTTTGATCAGAGCTTGTTATTCTAAAATCCATTTCTCCTACTCTTTGTTCTATCATAGATGTTTTCTCTTCCATTTTCCCCACCCTTTCCTTATTCTTCATCATCATTTGTTGAATATCTCTATTTTCCCTTCTACATTGCCTACTTTCTCTTCCATCTTCCCTATTTTTTCATCCATCTTTCCAAGTTGTTCTGGCATCTTTTTAAGTATCATCTTAATTTCCGCCTACATTGTCACTGACTTTTCTTGTTGAATCATCTGGTCAATAGATCTTTGCCCACTGGGGGATGATGCTGAAGATGATGCAGATGTTGATGTCCTTTTTCATTCTTTAGTGTTGTAATTGTTGTCTCTTGTATATAAAATCAATTTATAATCCACAGAGTCTTTCCCACAAAGATTTTTCTTCAGGTTCTTCTATAACCTAATCCAATATATTCCACAAACATAATTTTGTATAATCCAAAGGAAAAGTGAAAAACAGTATCCAAAAAGTTAAAAAGCTCAATAAAAATATGAGAGCAAAAAAAAAAGGAAGAAAGGAAGGCACAAAAATTAAGAAGCTTTGCTACAAAATGTATGGGATACAGCTAAAGCTTATATAAGAGGATATATACATGGGAAAAAGAAATAGAAAGAAAAGATAGGCACAAAAAAAAAGTTAGGAGAAGAATAAAAAAACTGGAAGGAGAACAACCAAAAAATCCACAAAAAAAGAAATTCAAAATAAAATGAACCTAACAAAACACAAAATGGAAATAATTGATGAAGAACTAGCACAAAAAATAAAACATACTAAACAGAACTTTTTTGAAAATGCAGGAAGATGGCTAGTGTATAGACTGAAAAAAGGACTAATGGATGATAAAGAGAATTTATGTTATAGAAATGAAGATATAAAAGAAATAATACAAAAATATTATAGAGAATTATATGAAGAAGAACAAGTGGAGAAAGGAGAAATATCTAAAGAAGATGGAGCTACCTAAAGTGCCAGAAGAAATCCAAACAATGTTAGAGGAGGAAATTACAATAACAGAAGCAATTAAAAGACAAAATAATGGAAAAGCACCAGGGCTGGATGGCTTGCCAGCAGAAATGTATAAAGCCCTACAGGACTCAATAAGCGATATACTATTCGAAGTAGCAAATGAGATACCAACTAAGGCAAAAATACCTAATTCATGAATGGAAGCATATATTACTCTTATACCAAAAGAGGATATTGATTTACAACAGATTAAGAACTATAGGCCAATATCATTATTGAACTCGGACTATAAAATATTTGCGTCAATAATGGCTGAAAGATTAAAATCAATTCTTACATCCAGATCAAAATGGATTCTTGCCTAAGAGACAAATAAAGGACAATATGAGAACAATTAAACACTTTGGGATACTATGAAGCACATCCAGAAAAGCAGATGGCATTGATATTCCAAGACACAGAGAAAGCTTTTGATAACGTGAACTGGCAATTTATGTTAACACAAATGGAGGAAATGGAATTAATGGAGTTTGAGGAAAGGTTCATTAATATGATTAAGACAATATACTATAAACAATATGCAAAGGTATTCGTTAATGGAGAACTGACAGAGAAAATTCACATTGAGAAAGGAACAAGACAAGGTGGGTTTTTTCGCCATTATTGTTTGTATTAACTTTAGAAGTATTAAATAGAGCTATTAGGAAAAATAAGGAGATAAAAGGGATGGAAATAAGATAAGAGGAGTATAAATTACAGGCATTCACAGATGATTTAGTTTTTATATTAGAAGCACCTCTAGGAACAAGACCTAAGCTGATAAACAGAATAGAGGATTATGGGAAAATGGCTGGATTAAAAATAAATAAAGGGAAAACTAAGATATTGATGAAAAATATGACAGAGAAACAAAAAAAGAATTGACAAAGAGTATAGATATTCAGATTGTATAGGAAGTTAAATACTTAGGAATTTAGCTGATGGCAAGATGTGGAACAATTAAAGAAGATAATTATAAATTGAAACAACAAATTAAGACAGAGTTAGAAAAATGAGGTAATATGCATTTATCATTAATACGAAGAATAGCGGTGATTAAGATGAACATATTACCCAAAGTGTTGAATTTGTTTCAAACAATTCTGATAAAATTAGAGAAAAATATTTTGAAGATATTAATAAAATGGGATTGAAATATATATGGCAAGGGAAGAAAGCAAGAATTAATGTTAAAATGTTATAGGATGCTAGAACTAGAGGAGGATTTGGGCTGCCTAATTGGGAAATATATTACCAGGCCATGGCATTAACATGGATGAAAGAATGGACAACATTGAGGAATACAAGGTTATTAACCTTGGAAGGACATGATTTACAAATTGGGTGGCATGCATTTTTGTGGTATGGAAGAAGCAAAACACATGGGTATTTTCAAAGGCATAGGGTCAGGGATGCATTACTATGTGTGTGGGGAAAAACTAGGGAATAACAGTATATGAAGATACCAGTCTGGTTATCAATGATGGAAGCACTTATATATCCAAATGTCTGTAAAATGGGAAGTATTTCCAAATATAAAGATATATTAAATGAAAAGGGTGAGCTCAAAACAAAACAAGAATTGAATGAACAAAGGTTAGAAATGCATTGGTATTCATATACGCAAATACAATCAAGGTATGAAAAAGACATTAAAGCTGAAGGGATTAATAAGGAGTTGACAGAATTGGATAAAATATTAACAGGAATAGAAGATAAGCTGATTAAAAGACTATACTGTTATTTACTAGTTGTTAAATTAGAAGAGGAACAAGTTAAAGAAACAATGATAGCATGGGAAAACAATTTTGGATATACCATAGAATTAGATAAATGGCAGAAATTATGGGATAGAAACTATAAATTAACTATATCGACAGCATATAAAGAACATTTGTATAGGATGTTTTACAGATGGCACTTAGCACCAGCAAAATTAGCGAAAATGTTTAAAGATAAATCAACCAAATGCTGGAAGTGTCATCAAACACCAGGAACATACTACCATATATGGTGGATTTGCATAGAAGCTAAACAGTATTGGACAAAAATATACACATGGTTGGAAAAAATGATAAAGCAACACATAGATTTGAAACCTGAAATATTTTTATTAGGAAAGGTACCTGAAGGTTACAGTAAAGAAAAACATATTTAATCATACATGTTTTAACAGCAGCTAGAATTGTATTTGCTGAGAATTGGAAAAGTGATAAGATACTGATAGAGGGAAAAGTAATTGAGAAAATATTTGAATGTGCAGAAAGGAATAGATTAACATTGGAAATTAAAGGAAAAGAAGAATCTGAATATTACATGGTATGGGATTTATGTTATCAATGGTTAGAAAACAAAATACATTAAAATGGATTAGATGAATATATAAAGCAATAAGAGAAGATTATTAACAATAGATATATTGAATATGACTTATATGAAAATGTGATTATTGCTATATTGTTTATTGATAAGGAGAGTATTAATCATAAACTGTAAGCACACTAAATATGTACCTAATCGACACACAGTTGAAATGGAATGTATTTACCATATATAAAAAATAAAAATAATTAAGGAAAAAAAAGATTATGCTTTTATTAATGTTTTATTGTTATCTTTGCTCTATACAGTATCTTACTGTACTGAAATTGCCTAGAATCAGACTGAGGCAGCATACAAATCTTACTAAATCATATATCTTCTTGCATGACTGCATAGCTCCCTAACAAAGCAAACTACAGCCATTTTTGCAGTATCATTTGGAAAGTCCATCATGATATAGAGCTGTTACTAAGGTAGGGGCATTGCCCTGCTTTACACTAATTTTTTCTTCAGGGTAAGTCATAGTCAATGCTGGTGGGGGGGGGAGAAACCCATCTCATAGCCCTCCACCTTTTGTAGGAGACCAAAGGGCTTGATGCTCTTCCAGTCCTGTTTTAACATCTACATGAAGTTGCTAGAGATGATCATTTGATGGTGCAAGATGAAATAACATAATATGCAGATGATATCTGGTTGTAAATCCTCACCTCAGGTCAACCACACAATACTGTGAAAGTTCTGCCCAATGTTTAGAGGCTGTGGGGGTGTGATTTAGAAGCAAAAAATGCAACCCTAGTAAGATTAAGGAGCTTTGGTTTGAAGATCACCCTGGATTTGATGATATTCTATATTTAGTTCTGGGTGGAGTTGTACTATGGCAGATAAAGCCAGTGGACAATTTGAGGTCCTCTTAGACTTACAACTTAAGGAATAGGAGCATATGTGTATACCTGTGCTTCAATTGTGCTGTTTCATGGATCAGAAGGCACTGCACAAGCTTTAGTCACCTCCTGAATGGATTACTGAGGTTACCCTTGAAAAACATTTAGAAGGGACAATTGGTCCAGAATGTGGCTGTACATGCAATAATAGGTGTTAACCTAGTTTGGTCTAGTGGGTAAGGCACCAGGCTAGAAACCAGGAGACCTGAGTTCAAGTCTGACTTTAAACATGAAACCTAGATGGATAACCTTGAGCCAGTCATTCTTCCACAGCCCAACTCATCTCATAGTAGTGGTATTGTACGGGAAATAGGAGAGAGAAGGAGCACTAGATATGTTCACTGCCTTGGGTTGTTTATAAAGAAAACAGTAAAGGTGGGATATAAATTTAATAAAATGAGAAACACCTATAAGTGCCTAAGCAGCCACATCTGTTACATCTTTGTTTCACAAGTCGCATAAGTTCCCAAGAGACTTCTAGGTAAAAGTTAAGGTGTAGATGATCATCTAAAAATATTTAATGAAATGGGGCCAGGACATTTGAGAGACCATCTCTTTCTGATTGTTTCTACTTGCCTCACTAGATCCAGCAGGCAGGGTGTGATCTAGGGCCTATTAATTGAAGAATGCTATTTAGTAGGACCCAGGAAATGTGCCTTTTTTGGAACCCTGGACCACCTGATATTAAAATGGTCCCAATCCCGGTAGCTTTATGGAGAACACTTAAGACTTGGCTCTTCTATCCAGCATGTGAGTCACAAAATTGATGGAACTCATATGTTTTGTCATTCTTATGGAGGAATTATCCTCAATTGTTCTTTTTTGTTTTAATTGTGTGCTGAATGTTTTTCCTTTTATACTGTTATCTTAAATTCTTTTGGCCAGCCAGTCACCTTGAGGAGGCACTATATAAATTGAAAGAAAGAAATTCCCTATTTGCACAGGAAACCTTACCATTGTAACATGATGTCTCCCAAAGTTGATTTACCTTTGGGGGATTCAGTGAGCAACATGAGTGGGTAGTCACACAGAACTAGAAAGTCCTATTTGTTAGTGTTTGGGGACAAACCCCCAAGCAGAATGCACAGCAGCAGT